AAAAGTGATTTCTCTGCTTGCCCATTTTCCGCATTAATCAAACAATGAAGGAGGAGGCGGAGGAAGCGGGGGAGGGTTTGTCACGTATGCAGATGGACGGTAGCGCACAGAAATAGACGACCTGAATATATAAATATATATAATATACATATAAATCGAGATAAGTAAATAGCTTAACTGAGCAGAACAAACAAAATAGTGAAAACAAATAAATAAATCGATAAAAACAGCAACATTGTAGAGAGAGAGAATTAACAGACGATTTAAGAAATCAGCGAGGAGGCCTTCCCACACACACAGACAGATTAACTTCTGTGTTACCAAACAACAGCAAGTTCCTCAGTGTTCAGTCAAAAGTCGACACATATTAGTTATTCCTTTTGTTACTACCAACTGTATAGCTGCAAAATCAGGTGCATTGGAAGAAGAATACCAAGACAGCTAGCCAACCTGTTCATGTCTTCCACTTTCAATGGGCATCTCTCACAGCCATCCCATAAGGGAGGAAGGAGCGGACTCCTGAGCAGTACACACACACCCTTTGGTAGACAGCCAGTCAGCCAGGTATCACATGTCTACTCGAGAGATGGCATAAGATGGCGCATATATCGAATGATGAGGCTTGTGTGTACCCGTGCTGAGACTTTGTTAGCCATCAATCATCCGCTGGAGCTGGTTGATACAACTCCCCGAATAAATGAAGTGCTCAACACGCCCCACCGACCGCTTCATTCGGAGATTACTGCTGCTCAACAAGGTGTTCAGAAGACTCGACCTCTATTTTGTCAGCGTCTTCATCAGGGAGCAGGATTATTCATATAATTACACCGGATTAGAATATAATTACAAGATGGGATGAATCGAATGAAGACAAAGAGATAAAATTCCACACACACAGAACAGAACAAAAAAAATGAAGAGTAAGGGAACATACCGAACTAGGTCCATGGTAGTTGTAAAGGCTGGACTGGTTTCTTTTGAACACATAGCTCTGGCTTTTCGACC